ACACAGCACCAGAGCAGAGGGTACTGGCAGCTGCGCTCTGCAGAACAAGCACGCGTGCGCATTGCTTTCACTCTCTCCAGTGACACGTGGCTTTCATGTTCTCCCTACTCACAAGCTGTGCTCATGGAGGAGTCCTGCCTTCAGGCCCACTCCCCTCCGGATAGCACCACCTTTGTTACTGCCAAAGTGACAAGGATCTGCCTAGAGAGTCTCCTGTCACAGCTACATGACCAGCTAGAGAATAAAACATGAGCTGTTCTCATAAGAAGCCCCAGGAGACCACCAAACAGCCTGACATGTTAATAAGAAAGCACACACATGCACTCACTTTTCTGTATCGCCAGAGCTGGTTCCCCTTCATCCCGTGGCAGTCGTAGAGGGTCACGGGACTGCTGTGGGAAATGGCGTCGAAGCAGAACTTCTTGGTGTGCTGCGGGTCCCCGGGACGGATGTCCTCTCGCCAGCTGAATGTGAACACCTGCCAGGACACCAGCACATGGGAGGTGAGGAAGACCCGAAGTTGGGGAGCTGAGGGCCTGCTCTTAGCTGGGAGGCTCTTTCCTCTGAAGGGAGGGAATAAGCCGCTGCTAGGCTTGGAAGCTCTGGTGTTGGATGTGGGGGTCGGGAGGGGGCTGGGGTTTGTCTTCATTGCAGCCTGGCCAGTCTCCACACTGCTGCTGCTGACACCAAGACCCAGCATTGCTGACTTGGGGTCTAACGATGCATGTGGGCTGCCCATGCAGCTGCCTGTGGGATCCGAGATCAGGCTGGTGCTCCCCAGGCCATGAGAAGCCGTGCCATCCACCTGGCAGGAATGGCAGCTCTCAAGTGGCCCTGCACCAACACCTGCCTTTCTCTGATCCATGCACATGACGCCCTGATGATGGACCGAAGGCTGTGGCAGGGAATAAAAGGACCAAAGAGACCTGTGGTGATATTAGACAGGGCAGCAGCTCTAGCCAAAGCCTGGACACTGGGGTAGAAACACGCACAGAGCTGAGTCCTGCTGGGAGTGAGAGGTCTGCAGGGAAAGGAGCTGGAGATGGGAGATTGCAAGGGAGCAGGAACACTTCCTGGAGCAGCAGAGAAGTGGTGTGGCTTCCTCATGCTGCTTTGAATCCAGGTAGTCAATCCTGCTCTGCTTTCCCCCAGCCCAAGGCAGTTTGGATCCAAAAGAAATTACCAATATCCTTTAGGAACCAGTTAAACACAACCCAAATCACGGTCCTCCTAGATGCACACACCCACCCACTTCTGCAGCTAACTGCTCCTGGAATCCACTACCAGAGCTACAGCCCCTTTTTGATCCCCCCCTCAAACCAGTTTCATTCCCAGTTTCCTTGCATCCAAGTGCATGTACAGCAACCTGCGATCTCCTCATACTGAATCCATTTCCAGTCACAGATTGCTCGATCACCGGCCCTTGGCTTTCTACATCTCTTTTCAGCTCAGCTGCTCCACGGTACACAAACCAAGCCTCCCCCCGGGTTTGTTACAATAAAGCTGTCATTTCTGGCATGTCGTACACCCAGAGGGCAAGTCGATCATCTGGCTAGTTTCATCTCTCGCCAGCAATGACCAGTAAGTGGTTACTGAGTGTGCCTGCAGGCTCATTCATATGCACGAGGCATCTCTTATCGCATCTTCCAGCAGATCCTTTGAAATTAATATTCACTTTGTAACCTATCATGACTGCCTTGTTACCCGCTTCTGTCATGATGTTGGCATGCTGTTTTCTCCTGCTTCAACAACTGGGTGAAAAACTCCCTAAGCAGCCTCCAAGGCTCCAGACCCTTTCCCCCTGATCTTTCCTATGACACCAAGAGCCAGAGCCTGCAACAGAGACCATCGGTGCATCTGGTCCTTAGGCCAGTGGGTAAGAACCCTTTCCATTGCCCTGCACTCCCTAGAGAAGTGGAGCCACCGCATTATTTACAGCCCCAGATGAACATTTAAGGACAGTTAAGGACGGAAGGAGGGTTCAGGTACCTGCACATTGTTCCAAGCTGCCTCCCCTCTGCCTTTCACACAGGTTTCCAGCCGCAGTGGGGCTCCCAACGCGCCGTGTTTCGTGTCTACACACAGGCCGGTGCCCAGATTCCGGATCTGCAATGTTAAGTGACTCGTTAGTTCTGCTGCTGTAATCTTTGTCCAAGCAACGGTTGAGAAGCAGGATGATTTGAGCATCTGCCTCCAACAGCGGCTGGCTGCACGACAGCTGAGTGCCAGACCCCTTCTGCTATTACACGAGCGAGCTGGCGGCATTTCAGCTGCCGGGAGGCACGCGAGATCGATAAGCCAAAAATGCGATCAATCTTAAATAGCCCAATAATCTGCCTTGGGTGTCCTGCACGCTGCAGACGTGTAAAACCCATTATTTCCTCATGCGCCGCAGACTGAACCTGCATGCTTATAGCACTGTTTATCTCTAGACCAGAAGTGCGTGGGGATCCAGGGATACTTGGATAAGCTGTTAGGAAATAACTGTTACATCTGCACATTACTACAGTGACTGGCATGGAGCAAAACTGTAACTCATACCCCGGTACAAGGTTTAGGCCACCTGTTGTTGCTAGAGAAGTTGCACTGTAACAGCTGATGCCTGCTCCTGACCCTCCCCGTCACTTTTAACGTTATATCTGTCCACAGCCAGAATCACCGTCCTTGCTGACCTCCATTTTTGCAGAGGGAAAAGCAAGGTGCAGCAAAGCTAAATGACTGACCTAAGCTCTGCCCAGACACCTGGGTTGTTTCTAGCTCTGCTGCTGAGCACCAGGGAATCGTTCCGCCTCCCCCAGGGTCATGCCCTGTGCAGAAGTGGGTCAGTACGCCACATCTCCCCGTGGCTAAGCACTTAGGGAACGTCATCTAGGGCATCTGCTCTGTTCCTCAAGCTGGCTGGAGCAACCAGGAGAACAGGAACGCCGCTTTCTGAATCACCGAGAGCCGGGGCTGGAGAACACCGATGCATGGTCTGCTAACAGGAAGGGAGCAGAGCAGTATCAGAGCTCCCAGGAAGCTCTCCGACAACCCCGTGGCCAGTCAGCCCCAGCCGGGCACGTTCGGTGGCCTCACCTCTCCCCACGCTGCAGCTGGGGGCTCCACCGGTGGGTAAAACTTGGGCAGGTCCCAGGCCACCTCGTTCATGAACCACTTGAAGCTCTTGCAGTTGAGGTTGCTGCGCAGCTCCTTCTGGGCAGCCACATCCCCCGCGGAGAGGTGCCGGTACTCCGGCCTCCGCTGGTAGATGTACTCAGCGTACTCATCCATCCACACCTCGGCCACGCGTTTCAGGTTCTGCGCAGGCAAGAGAGGGGGGGAACAGGATGTGAAACGACTGTCTACATGCCCACAAGGATCCCAAGAAGAGTCAGTGCCTGGGCTTGGAAAGGCTTTTTATTTAGATGCGCACCGCCTCAAGCTGCAGAAAGCAAGCCCATTTTTATTACACCCTTGTACCCAGGGGCTTATAGGACAAGATTTTTTTGGCTGAGGTCGACAGACTTCTGGAATTCAGCCATCCTGTCCGGATCCCCACAGCGACAAGAATAGCATTAGTCACAAGTTGTTAAAAAAAAACAAGCCTGAGAGCAGAACAAGCGACACCAGTAAATGCCACTGGACATTTAAAGGGCTGAGATGAAAGCTTCCTGCCTCTCCCACTCTAATTCAGGCCGCTGCATCCTTTCCGTCTTCCTTTCTGAAGCCAATTTGCAGTGCCCGCTCCAGCAAGCATTGGCTCACACTGCTCTCTTCTCCACCTTCAGCTCTGCTATAGAAAGAGCTATTTAAGGGAAATGGGTCTCACAAGCTGTGTTCGATGAAAATAATGCCGAAAAGCCCAGCAGCCAGGAGATCCTTTTGTGAGCTAACTCTGGAACAAGAGTCCTGTCTGTGTCTCGGAGAAATACGGCTATTGACAGAGAGATGCAGCAGATAACAGCACATCTGGAACGATGGTCACTGGATGGCTCCACCGGTCTTCCTAGCTGTTGTGTGTGACGAGTTGGATAGACGTCAGCATTGACCGCCACAACCGAGCTGCCCAGTGACAACAGGCCAACACGGACAGCCTGATACCACAGGTACAGCAGGACCTGAGGGTGCCATGGGGCACATCTCCGAGCCACACAAACTACCAGGCCCAATAGTTTCCAGGGAGGTTTCAAAAGTAGCGCAGGTGGCACTCGCTCACCACTGCATCGTACAGCTGCACCGCACCGGGCCCAAACTGAGCCCCAGATGGATGCACGCTTTAGCCGAAACTGTCCCCTCATCTGGCTGGTTTCCACAGCTTCCCATTGGCTGCCCTGCCTGTCCCCAATTCCCGCTGATGTCCTGGAGGAGCTAAGGAGGAACTGCAATCACTGCATTGCAAGAGACTGTGCGCTGTGAAGATTTCTGATGTCTAAGGCATCAGAGGACAGAAGAGCATGGGCTCGCTTTGGGAGGGAGCCACGTGGTCCAACTCCCTTGTTAGCCCAAAGCCCATTTTGGCTGGGAGCCCTTCAGGACAGGGGCAGGAGGCAAGATCGTTCTTGGTGTTGCTTTGCAGCCCTGTTCCTATAAAACCCGTTCCCACCAGAGGGCACCATCGCCCCTTTCCAAAATCTGTGCTCTGTGGACAATTTTAGAGAGCCGGCGCACAGCATGGAGGCTTACTGCCCTCCCTCTCCAAGCTAAATTAATTAAGAAATCACACTGGACAGGCCTTTGCATCCTGGATAATTATAGCTTGCTTCTCCAGTGCACTGAGAGGCTCGAGGCAGATATGTCTTTCAGTCCCCTAAGCGGCGCTACCCCTGCTCTGAAACGTGCCGCTCTGAGGTTTTAGCTCTCAGGCACTTGGCATTTCCTCCTGAGAAAGCCACACTGTACATTTCGGTGGGGATGACAGTCCAAGTCGCAACTATACCGGCCCTGAGACTTTCCATCATGGCCGAAGTTAGCGTCCGGATACAATCAGACATGCTCTTAGCAGGGGCAATGGGGAGGAGTGTGCCTGCCCTTGGAAACAGGTTTGCTGTTGCCCTCTCCATGCATGATACAGCTTAGCCGAAGCTCAGCCTGGTCAGCTCCCCAGATGTAGCTGCCCCTTTGGCACCCAAAGCTGCAAAGGAAGTTAATGAGGAGTATGCTCACCCGCGCCAGGCTGACTCCGGTCGGGACCTTGTATGGCACATACTTCCTGTAGATATGGCCCACTCGGGAGCAAGGGATGTCTTCCATGCGGCCTCCACACATCCACACCTGTGGGAGGGCAGAGAGGGGCAGACCTGCAGTGAGAACTCACTCCCAATCCAAAGCCCCACTTCCAAAAGACAGAAGAAAAAAAAACATTCAGCCCATCTCTGCGCTTTAAGTCGCGTCTTCTTTGCCAAACGCCCTCTCGGCATTTTGCAAACCTGACTCCCATTGCCCTGGCGCTCTCAATTTAGGCAACGTGTTAGCCAACTGGCTGGACAGGCGCTGCCTGTATACTCAGCCATCAGCTGGCAAGGCCCAAACAATGTTGAGCATCGCAGCCCCGTGCTGGCCTAAGTTAACGGGGGTGGTTATGGCACACAGGAGTCATGCCGATTAAGAACTGGACCCTTGTGCAAAACCCTGTGCTCCATATCCGATAGCTGAAGGCAGGCAAGACAACCCTGTAGTTCAGATCCTGTGCTGCACAAACACCTTTGAAGGAATTATTCATAAGCCTGCCTAAGCTTCAAACCAGAAAATACTGGCTCCCACATGCCTCTGTGCTCCCGCTGGGTACCAGGGTAAGGCCTTGGATGTTGCCACTGTGATTTTAGTGCTGGCATGTGCCCTTACAATTAGTGGAAGTCCCTGCCTGGTGAAATGCAATTACCTTTAAAAGCCCTCAGAAAGTCAATGGGAGAGAACATTAGTTGCAGAATAACGACCTGATGCTTGATTAATGTCAAGGTGAGGCCAAGAAGTTTATTTTCCAGGCAGAAAGCATCGATTCCATGCCAACATCCTGCAACAACTTTCTTCGACTCCTAGATTAGCAAGGCTGCAGTCAGAGGGAATGAAGCACAGTGACTGCTGGTCTCTGGGCAAGCAGAAGAAAGCTTTTGCAGGGGTGGAACGAATACATCTGTGTGCTTTGTCAGAAAATATCTAATCTATTATTGACCAAAGCACCTTACATTTTTAGAAAGGGGCTGCTTTATGACGCCGTTTGTATGTTTTTCCCTCTAAAATGCTGCCTCGGCAAAAGAGCTGGGCAAACATCCCAATGGATGCTCCATTAAGGGCACTGCTGGCTCCTGCTGACTTTTTAAACAGTTCCTTCCAGCTTTCGTTCCCTACAAATGACTCACCACTGTCTTGCCCTCCATCCCCTCTTCGTACCCAAAAGCACTACAAGTTGACAGTGTTAGTGGTCCCTCCATTAGTCATGCCCGATTTGCGCTGCTGCAATTCACTGTACAATGAGCTTAGTAAAACAGTCTCATGTAGGGAAGACCATTCATTAAACGTCTAGGGCTACAATATTTATTACGTGGCAAAGAAAAGCAATGTTTAGCCAATGCTTCTGCACAGTCACTAGCTACGACTCTCATGTCCTTTGAGTGTCGTCTTTAGCCAACCTCCCCCTGCCATGCCTAACTGCATCAAGCAAATGAAGTTTCATCTCCGCTGGGTCAGAGTTCCCGTGGGCAAAATCCCACCAACTCAGGGTGCAGACAGATGTGACAATTATACCAAGTGACGGGGGGGTATACGTTGCTCTGATGCCACTTACATCTACGTGTTCCTACAGCAATGCAAGAGTCGCAAAACCCCTGCAACCATTTCAGTCCAGGTCAGCTGCAGCAACTTAGCTTGCTTAATACGCTGTCGGAGTATGCAGGACTTCTGACTGATGCTCAGGCTGGCAAAACGGCGTTTTCAGTCTGATCTGAATTACAGTCGGTCTGTCTTGGGGGCCGAGCACAGGGCAGGTGTTAAAGATGAACGCGGTTGGAAATCACCATTATATCTGCACGTTCTTCTACCAATAGGTGCTGTTGCAGATGAAGAAACACCTCTCTCTGCAGTGCAAGACGGCCTGCGGCTGGAACAGGATCCTGCAGCTTGGACGTACCGGAGGAAGCACTAGTAACTGAGAAGCCTGAAAAGATAGCTCATGGGCTGGCACCCGCCTGTCTCAAAGACCATCTTCTCCACCCAGGAGCATGGCCTACCTGGGATGGGAACAGGGGCCTCTCAGCCAGCCTACGCTGAACCTCTGCTGCCCTCTGACCATGGGCCGGATGCTCTTCTAGTAGGGATGAGCAAGCTGGGAGAAGCCAGATGAGAAAAGCGGACTTCGCCTATGGAGCCTGGCAAAGATCTCAGCCATGATGGGAAAATACCATGCATGATACCGCATGTCATCCCTGGACGGCACGCGGCTATACGAGGTCAGGTGCTAAAAGAGCACGGGGCAAGAGATGGGGCTACAGACCTACTTTCCACCTGCGCTGTAAAACCTCTGGCTGACCGCTGGCTGGCGTGGGTCTATAGTATCAGGCGGATGCAACGGCAAAGGCCAGCTGGGTCCTCTGAAACTTTCCAGTAGCTCCACGTGCTTCAAGTGCCGCCGCAGCCCTCCAGAAGCATGCCTGCTTCCCATTCACTCGTTGCTGCTTTGATTTATTTTATTAGCAAGCTTCTTTGTGTGGTGACAGAATTCGTCGCAGCCTGCATAAAGACAATTACCAGCCCTTATCTATAAAATGGGAAGGAAATGGCGGGGGGAGCGTGACACTCATCAGCAAAACAGAGCTAACAAAAAGCAGCAGAAAGTTAGAGCTAAAGGGAGGAGGGAACATCCAAGATAATCAAGGGCTTGTCTAGGAATACATGGAGGGGAAACAAACCCCGAGTGCCAGAGCGAAGGGAGGGAGGCAACCTGCTCTGCCTGGCTGTTTTAAAATAAGGGCACGGCTTATCTTCGAGACATCAAGCTGTGTTACGGTGCTGGAGCAAAGCGCAGAAGACGCCTTCCCTTTCCGTCAGGCGGTGTCCTGGGAGTGCACTGCCTTTATCCCGACTGACTGCTGTCTTCCCATTAACATTGGAGCTGGGGTTTTCTGCACGGCGCCTGAGCAAATATAATCTCTCTTGGCTGACGAGACGGCAGACATCCGAGTTCTGGTTTGATGAGCTGCGCTTCTCAGCTCAAACAGCCATTTGCTAAAGCTCCTCGAGGACAGCTAAATCCAGTCAAGGAAGCCAGTGATTTATGCAGGGAGCTCATCAGGTCGCTTAAGAGAAGCGGGGCCCTGCCATTTCCAAAGTCCTGAGCTCAGAGGCTAATGCACAGGACTTCAGTGCAGCTGGGAGTCCGTCTGCCTCTGAAGTCAGTGGGAGTTTTGCAGATGACTTGATCGCAGCTAGGACTGGAAACGCGGCCGAAGCCACAGGCTTATTCACGTGCTCGCACAGGAGACGCCGTTCCCATCTGTTCCCGGGGACTGAGAGCGACAACCCGTATGCGCACAGCCATGGGGGGGTCTTGAAAGGAAGCACATGGCAAACCCTCAACCCCTCTCCCCTACCCTGATGTTCAGCGACTCCATTCCCTTTCTGCCGCGGCGAGCAGCAGCATCAGACAAGACTTCAAGGAAAAAAAAAAAAAATACAGCTGCCATTAGTGCAGGCATCCAAGTGATTTGGGCACACGGGGTCTGCAAGTCCTGAAGGCTGTGTCATGATGACATGCTTCCCTAGAGCGAAGCCAAGAAGTTAGCCAGGACTTGGAGAGAAGAGTTTTCTTCAGCCCAGCATAGGAAAAAGAAAGCAAAGGACTTGGGAGCAGGAAAGGGAGAAAGTTGCAGCTTGTGCAGGCGCTGTCGTGAGGCCCATGGAAAGGAAAGGAGGATCAGAGCTAATGGATGCAGCACGGAAGAGCAGCTAGGACTGGTCTCAGCCCCACCACTGTGAGCATCAGCTGCCCCCAGAGCTATGAACATCTCCACCCTCCCCTGACAAGGGACTAAGGTTGTTCAAAGATTTGGCACAACACGCCTTCCCCAGCAGCAGGCTGCTTCCTGCCATTGGGAGCATTTTATACCACGCCAGTAGCAGCTCCCAATAATTGCTTCCTGGGTTGACGCCCATCTCCTACCTGGTGCCAGGGCAGAGCCTCCTTTGGGACCGACACGATGGAGAGGCCACCTCTCTACTCCAAATGAATGGAGGAGGAGAGATCCCTTCCCCACTTCTCATGGGAAGTGGAGACCGCACAGAAGGAAGGAGATCTGCTTGGACTCAAGGAAGCGACAAGAAAGCCTGGCCTGGCTGAGGCCGGGCCAATGCAGGAGAGTTGACGACACGCAGAGACTCGGCGGTACAGGCTTGCAACCCCTGCGCTGCATGAAACCGCTGGATGGAGGCCACCCCCTCTCTGAAACCTGGCACCTGAGGAGAGGCCAGCAGAGATGGAAATCAGCCAGCTGCTGCTCTGGCAGCTGGAAGGGGAAGGGGAGCCAGGCAGGCAGCCCTGCAGATCCCCATTCACCGGAGAACGTGCCACCTGATTTATCGCTGTCGGCAGAAGAGAAGCATTCGCATCTGTGTTTCTCAGGGAGCATGGGGACAGGTGACCGCCAGAATCAGTGCAGCATTACCGAAGCTGACCAAGACAGCACAGGTACTCGACCTACGAGCACAATATTTCCTTGTCCCTGCGCTACCTCGGCACCCTTGGACGGGAACAGTGGGCACTTGGACTTCTGTATAGGGTGACAGCCTCCTTATTTATAGCCAGATGATCCCAATATGGAGCCCTAAAAATATGGTTCAGACTGAGGCAACAAGATCAGATGCTTCCCAACCAGGCTTTCTGACCTGCAAGTCCAGGCGACAATGAAAAAAAATGCAAGGAGGCTGGTGAACCATGCTCTTCTGCCATTGCCCTTCAGAGGCTGGATGCACTCAGCCCTGGGACTGTCCACATGGAGCCTCGACTTCTCATCTGCTCCCCCTGGCCTAGGCATCAGCACTGGGATCACCTTTCCTGTGCCCTTAATTAGGCAGTGCAGTGAAGACTATGCACATCTGGGAACAAGAGCCCTGGAAGGACCAATGTAAGCGGAGGATGGGATGGCAGATGAAATCAGGTGTCGACAAATGCTCTACAAGGTAACAGGCTGGTTGGATCTATTTAAATGCCTCGCACATGCTGGGGTGTTCTGAATTAGCTTTAATCTTGGGAAGAAAGTATTTAGATATCTGCTCAGGCTGCA